AAAATTAAAACTACATAAAAATGCACTAATGGCTACTAAATCCTTTTTTGGTTTTTTGTGGATTTTTTTTTTGTTGTTGTTGTTTGTTTTTTGGTATTTTTGAGACGGTCTCCTGATAGCCCCAGCTGGCCTGGAACTTGATATGTAGACCAGGCTAGCCTCAAACTCAACAGATCTGCCTACCTCTGCCTCCCAGAGTAGGATTAAAGGCATATGCCACCATGCCCAGCTTAAATCCTTGTTTTTTTAAAAAAAAATTTTTTTGAGACAGTGTCTCCCTATAGCTCCAGCTGGCCTTGAATTTAGTATTAGACCAGAGATTTGCCTCTGCCTCCAGAGAACTGTGACTAAAGGAGTGTGCCACCACACTTGGCTTACTTCCTTATTTTTGGATAAAAGATGTCTTGAAAAAAGTCCTTTATCTGAATTCTCCTCTCTCTATGTCTGGATCTGGAGTGCATTTTTAAAAAGTTTTTTTTCTTATATTTCTTACAGTAACAACTGAAAAGTCAAACAATATACAATTTTTTTGTCTTTTTGAGACAGGGTCTCCCTGTAGCCCCAGCTGGCCTGGAACTATGTAGACCAGGCTGGCCTCAATCTCAACAAAGATCCGCCTGCCTCTACCAAAGGTGTGCACCACCACATCTGGCCTTAACGTTTTTTTTTCTTCTACAGGTGGAATCAACCATATGCCACATTAACAATGCTTTCTAATTCAAAAAGCTTACGTGCCAAGTACCAATGCTACATTCTTCTTTAAAACATTTAGAACAGGAGACCATCTGATTCCAAGACAACCAGACTAGGTCAAAGTTCCAAACAAGGTTTTTTAGGATTCCACATTGTGCTAACAAAAAAGCAGTAATTATGGAATGTCCAGTCCCAGGCCGGTTCAAAGCTATATATTAGTCCATTTAATCCTCAAAAATATTTCGGAATTTAAGATTTGTTTTCACTTCTGCCATTCTAGGATTGAGAACAGTGTCTGATACAGATTAGGCATGTGGACAAACTTGCTCAGAGCTAGAATTCCAACTGAAGTGTTTTCACTCCAAAGTTCACACATAACCATTATTGCCTCTCTGGAGCTTTAAAATCCTAACAGTGGTGGCACACTTTATTCACCCATTTCAGTGCCATAGCTTGTGCTTTTTGCTTGGCTCTTCGCTATCTTGATGTGTGTTCACGGTCCAGCCAAAACTCTTGATTATTTGGATCAGAAGGATCAGAGTAAGGCACAGGGTTCTATCCCCAATAGCAAAAAGAAAAAGGAAGTTGGGAGCCGGGGGATGAACATGATGAGATTTGTTATAGATTGTTCCTGGCAGCAGCAGAAACAAACTGGAGGCTGGTATTGAAAAGAGTTAGATTGTGGTGGTCTCAGTGAGATGATGCAACAGGCTTTACCCAGCAAGAGTAGCAGCAGAACACAGTAACGTTTTTGTTAAAACGTAGATCCTGATTCAGAAGGTTTGGGGTAGGACCTGAGATGCTACATCTCCAAGAAATCTCAGAAAACACTGATGCTGCTGAGTCTGAAGACTATATTCTGAGTAGCAAAGATACATGAAAGAAACATCAGGAAGCTGGGTGTGCTGGGGGACACCAGAGGCAGACAGATCTCTGGGAGGCCAGCCTGGTCTATATAGCGGGTTCCAGGCCTGCTAGAGTTACAGGAAACCTTCTCTCAAGAAACAAACAAGCAAGAACAACAAAAAAGAAATACTAGAGTTGGGGAGATGGCTCAGCCAGTAAAGAGCTTGCTACACAACAATGAGGACCTGAGTCCTGACTCTCAGCACCTACATAAAAGCCAGGTGCAGCAGGGAGTATCTGTCACCCCTTTCCCCCAACTGTTGGGCAGACAGATCCCAAGAGCTTGTTGACCAGTCAGCCTGGCAGAAACAGAGAGCGCTAGGTTCAGTGAGAGCGCCTATCTCAAAAAATAAGGTGGAAAATGGTAGAGGAAGATAGTGATAGAGGAAGATACCTGAGGTCAGCCTCTGGCCTCCATGTTTGCATGCATGGGCAAGCACACTCCTCAAACACACACATGTACAGACACTCATATACCACACAAACACACAAAAGGACAAAAGGAAATATTAATTAATATACATTAAAGTTCATAGGAACATGTCAGCAGTTAGGTGGTGGTAAATCAAGAATGAAGTAAAATGCATATTGGGTAAGCATTCTACCATAAAGCTACACCTCCAGCCTAAAATACATTTAAGATTATAGCCAAATTTTCAGCTTGTATCTGGGTAAAGGTAAAGCTATCTATAGACACAAGGTGAGGAACAGGTTTGGGTGGGGTAGATAACAGATAACATTTATTGGGCACATAAGGTACTATGTGCCAGGCTCTTCATGTGTTATTTTGTTCATGCTGTACAAATACATTTATGAGGTGGATATTGCAACTCCCATTTTAAATCTAGGGAAATTGAGGTCAAGGTCTCACAGGTTGTAAATGGATCAGTCACAATTTAGTCTCTTAGGCTAGAGAGATGGCCTAGCAGTTAAGAACACTTACTGCTCTTCTAGAGGACCCAGGTTTGGATCCCTGTACCCACATGGCTGCTAACAACTGTCCCTAACTCCAGTTCCAGGGGATCTGACAACATCTTCTGGTCTCTTCAAGCATTATACTCATGGGTGCACTAACATACATGCAGGCAAAACACTCATATATATAAGATAAAAATACATTAAATTTTTTTTAAAAAAGATTCATTCTTTCTGGAGGTTTCAGCTGAGAACTCAATTAACTGCTGGCAGTTTGACTATGCAAAGTCAATGCAAATGTGGGAGGTCACATGGAGTGGACCAGTGTATAGTAGATATCCGAGCTCAAGGAAGTTATTCTTGAGCCAGTGTAGCTCAGCAGGGAAAGGCACTTGCCACAAAACCTGACTTGAGTTTGAGCCCCAAAACCCACATGGTAAAAGTAGAGCATCGACTCCCACAAGTTGTCCTCTGACCTCCACACACACCCTGATATGCATGCCCTACTCACCCCCAAATAAATAAAGGTAAAAAGAAAGTTTTGAAAGAGTTATCCTGAGTAATAAAGATCTAGGAGGAATTAAGGCAGTAAAGTGAATGAAATCATCCATGGAGAATCACAACCTTCCCTTTCCGACAGCTGCCCATCATGTTTCATTTTCTTTTAGCATTTAATTATTTCAGTGGAGGACTCTAAAGGTGAGTATTTAGCATTTCATTATTTTTTGAGGCAAAGTCTCCTGTATTCGAGGCTGGCTTAAAACTTGTTTTGTAACCAACTTTCCCTCAACTTTCCAAATTCTGGGATTACAGTATGTGCCACCATTCCTGGCTTAGTTTTTAACTTTTTTTTAAATAAGTAATTTTTTTCCCCTGATAGGATACTGTTTGCTTGTTCTGTTTTTGACACACGGTCTTACCACGTAGCCAGTGGTCCAAACTTCATCTTGAAGTTCTGTGATAATCAAGTCAATTTGACAGTATCTGTAATCACCTAGGAGAAAGGCTTCCCGGCATGCCTGCGAGATTATCTAAATTACATTAGTTGAAGTGGGAGGACCTACCTTAACTATGGGAGCACCACTCAATGAACTGGACTGTTGCTTAAGAAAGGGAGCTGGGCCCTAGCAGTCACTGTTGTCTGCTTCCTGACTGTGGATTCAGTGTCAACAGCTACCCTCAAGCTCCTGCCACCAGGGCTTCCCAGCCTTGATGTATCCTCAAACTGTGAGCCAAAATAAACCCCACCCCTCCTTGAGCTGCTTTGGTCAGGGTATCTTACCACAGCACCAAGGTAAGTAACTAAGGCAAGTTGGCTTCTGTTTATTAATTTTTCTGTATCCTATTGAACCCACTCAGTTTTCCACCTTTACTTCAGATTTCTTGACACCTAAGGAAAGTTTTCTTCCGTTTTCATTTTGATTATCGCTTCTAACTGATTTCCTCTATTTTTGGAATATCCATAGTTTGAATTTCCATGATGATCTTAGTTATTGTTTTCTCTCTCAAAGAATTCCATGACTTTGTTCAACATTCCTGAAACTTTTTTCTTGTCTACCTTTTATAGTGCCAATTTACTCTTTTGTATCATGTCTTCTTTATTGCTTCAACTACTTTTGTTGTTATTGTGTTTTAATTTATTTCCATTCATCTTGATTTTAAAAAAGAAAAAAATACATTCTCTTAACAGAGCTATATAGTATTAGGTGTTTTCTAAAATCGAATCTGCTGAATGGCCCACTTACATTTTGAAGGACTAATTTTAACCTCTAGTTCTTTGTTCCTTTTTTCCTACAGGGTTTTGTTTAGTTTTAGTGCTGCAAATTGAATATCCAGCCTGCCATATGTTAAGTATGCACTCTACCACTGAGTTACACCCACAGCTCCTACTTTTTTTTTTTCTTCCCCAGGTCTTTTTGAGACAGGGTTTCCCTGGCCTGGATTTGCTAATGGGAGACCAGCCTGGCCTCGAACTCAAGAGATCTGCCTGCCTCTGCCTCTGAGTGCTGGGATCAAAGGCATGCGCCACCAGGCGGGACCCTCATTTAAACAAAACAAAACAGCTTGCTTATTTTCCTTGGAGTCTGACTGGTAGATTTTTATTGATGTCTGGAAGTCCAGAATTGGTATGTGTAAGTTAGACTCTTAGTGCTGGTCAGAGGGTGAGAAGTCTGCTACTCCTTTATCCCGCCCCCGGACACAGCAAGGAGGTTCCATTCTCATTTTTCTCGGTATCCACCTACCATAGGATTCCAATTTTTACCCTTGTGACTGTTTCTGGCCCTCAACGTCTGTCTAGTTTTCTTCTAAATTTTAATGTTTTAAACAATTCCATCTTGGTGTTGTATTTCACTATGTCCCACCTAAGTTTCGGCTTAACTGTGTCAACCATGGTCTAGTCCCTGAATTTCAATGTCTTTCTCAAATGTCTCAACCCACAACTCCCCAAGCCTCTACTCAGCTTTTTATTTCTTCATAGTACTTACAGCTTAGGTACTGTATTCGTCTATCTCTTCTCTCTAGACGGGAAGCTGGCCCCAAACACAGTTAGTGTTCAGCATACACTCGTTAACAAGCCTCAGAATAGCGAATTCACTGTCTTGTGCTTTGATCTCCACGTTCATGTCTCACACTTTTAGGTATGAAAATGCCTTTCTAGGTTTCGGTCATGTTTTCTGGTTTCTGAGCCTGGAGGTGAGAGTTAATCAGCCTGTGGGCCATGGATCTCACAGGCCTGTCTCAGGGTCCAGGGGCTGGTGTATGGTGCGTCGTCGGGTCTCTCATGCGAGACGTCTCTGATTTGCTCAGGATCCTACTTAGCTGTCCAGGTGCTCTGAGCCGACTGGATTCCGACCTCATCAATGTGGTACCCTAGATCTCTCTCCGCAGGCCGTCCAACGCCCGGCGAGCCCGGAACGCACGTGATGACTCTCCTCCGCAGCCGCAGTGCTCCGCCCTGAGCTCGCTACTTCCGCGGGCCGGCGAGGCCCCGCCCTCCTTGCAGAGACGAGCCAATCCTCACGCACGCTCTTGACTCCGTCCCCGCGCCTCCTCGGCGCCAGCCCCTCCCTCCGCCCGCCCGCCTGCTGGCCCCCCCGTCAGTCAGGCAAGCAGTGGGCCGAGTGGCGGTCAGGTTGTTCCCAGCTGCTGAGCGTTCTTTCCTTCTTCCTTGTTCCTGATCGGCGGCGGCGGCGGCGGCTGCTGCACGGGCGGCGGCGTGGTCCTTGCGGGAGGTGCTGTGTAAACTGAGCGGCGGCCGCAAAGCGTCGAGCCCAGCGCGGCGGCGGCGGCGGC